TCTGATGCAGTATATGAAACAAGAAATATGACATTAGCATAATTACTATGCATCATCCTGTTGTCCACTATAAAGGACATTACATAACAAATACATAAAAAGTGTTTTTGAAAAAAAAAAAATCACTGTGACAAGTTTTTTCAGCCAATAGACATCTCGAATTCTCAAACTTGAATTTTTCTGGGTCTCAGGAGGATAAAATAATTAGTCCTTCAGCCCTCGATGCTCAAAACCCCTCCAAAGGCTCTCGTGTCTTTTGTGGGCCTCTTCTTGTTGAGCTGGTTGAAGGAAGTCAGATATGTGGACATATGAATATTTATCTGTGAATTATGAAATTTATGTGTGTCTTTGAGAGCTTATGGTCTTTTTTCACTTACATAGCCAAGAGCTGTTACTGGTCCTTGGGTCCAGTCGTGAAGTCCAGTGGTAAACATTTGTTGCTACAGAAACAATATCATATTACAGCATATTACTTAATGAATCAGTGGTTCTGATGACCACTGTCATTGCAAAAGGAGTAATGCATAAATGTTTCAATACATATTTTTTAAAAATTTTATAAAGTTTTAAATTAGATTTTAAACATTTATGATTGTAAAATGTCAAAATGTGAAAATTTATATTTATTTTTACTACAACAAGTACTGAATTCAAAGGTTATGCCAAATGACTGGTTTGATAAGAGTCATTGTGTACATTGAATTAGATTTTAAAAATCGTGCAGCAACCCTGTATATAATTAAAAAGGTTTATATAAAACATGGGTCCCACTACACTTCAGATCAGCTTACCTTTTTCTAGAAGAGGCTACTTAGTTTCTTTCCTCTGTGTGTGTGTGTGTGTGTGTGTGTGTGTGTGTGTGTGTGTGCGCGTGTGTATGTGTGTGTCTCATACACATCTGCATAAACTTCACTTACGCTCTGGAACACCGGTCTTTCTTTTATATGGCACATCTGTGAATATAAAGAGAAAACTGTTCATTTTCTGAAAGCACCACACTGCAAAACATGGCCTGATAAGAGACTGGAGACATGTATATAAGAAGAGTGTTGGAAAATGGAAAATGCTAAAAAGAAAATGCACATACTTTTTCCACAAAGCTCCCAGTACTGTATTACTGTATTTAAATACTACTACTTTAATTACTTTGTGTATACATAGGATATTCCCCCCACTTAATATACTCAATATTAAATTAAATAGTTTTACATACATAAATTTCATGTATTAAAGTGAGTACTTCCTAAAGCTCTTATCTATCTATCTATCTATCTATCTATCTATCTATCTATCTATCTATCTATCTATCTATCTATCTATCTATCTATCATCAGTTCAACCTAAAAACATTACTTAATGTGCATTAAGTTTTTAAGCAAAACCAAAAGTATTTTCACTTATTTACCTTTGATTTTCCCCTTTCTTATTCTTATTTCTTATTATAAGTGGATTATTTTACAACTGTTTTACAACTGTTCCCCTAAAAAAGTTCTCTTGTCCCCTGAAAAATTATGAAACTGAACTTGCAAACTGAAACTGAAATGGCCGTTTCGATTGCACTGTAAAAAAATGACTCATCAGTTCAACCTAAAAAAATGACTTTATGTGGTAACAAGCAACTGAACTAGTTTAACTCACCTCAAAAATTACTTTGACTGAAAGAATCGTTCATTCAAAGTATTTATTTAGGTTGAATAAAACTAGTTAATTTACTTGTTCTCACATGAAGTATTTTTTTAAGGTTGAACTGACGAGCCTTGAACTGAAAACAAATGAAGGGTGTCTTCTTACTTACAGTACTGTATAATTGCAGCAAATTTCAGTGTTTGTTTCCTGATCTTGCTGAGACAGTGATTGTAAGAACCACTGATTCAGTATGTAACATGCTAAATATACATTCAATTGTAGGGAATCAGTTTTGCCCAATGATGGAAAATGTTAAATATAAGATACTAGGATGCTTCACAGATGTATTTAAGGAAACTGAAGGTAAGTCTCCTGAAAAGAATGGAACCTGTGATAAAGTCAAAGAATGGACACATTAAATACTAAAACAAATTATATTTAGTTGTGTAATTTTCTGTTAAAAGGATGTTTTCTGATTTTTCCCTGATGCTGAAAAATGAATAACTTGTACTTTATGGCATATAAATGATATACATGTTTCTATGAGGGGTCGGAATAACTCAGACGCTCGCAGGTTAAAACAAGCTATAAGGCTTCAATGAAAAGGAGATAATCTAGACTCATGGTGAAAAAAACAGGCCAAGGTCAAAACCAAAAACAAGCAGTCAAAAACCAGTAGGGACATCCAGAGAGTAGAAGCCAAGTCAATAAAACCGTAATCACAAAAAACAGCAAACAAAGCAGAAGCGCAAAGGCAGAAACAGGCAGGTATAACAAATCAGGTCAACACCCAAGAACCAGGCAAGAGATAGAAACACTCAGCATCCTCAGAAATACTTCACAAAGAGACAAAGCGATCCAAACAGTTTAAATAGAGCTGAGAACAGGTGAGACAAATAAGTATTCAAGTGATGCAGATCTACGAGAGGCTGATGCCTGAGAGTTCAGAGTCACATGACCTCCTCGGAAATTCCGGGAGTTGGAGTTTCGGAGCTGAGAAGAGTCAGGAGAGTCAGAGGGAGGCATGACAGGTTCAATATACACTACCGTTCAAAAGTTTGAAATCACTTGTCATATTGATAATTGCTGTTATTTTACGCAATAATAACTTTTACAATGTAGATTGAAATACTGTAAGCTAGACACCAGGGGATGTTTTAAGATGTTTTGTTCGATATTTAAAGTTTTTGAAGTCATTAAATGATAATTAATATACTGTAGTTATCTATTTTTAGTCATTCTTAGATAAATTATCTGTCTCGAGATTTTATCTCCATTTTCAAGTACTTTATTTTTCATTCTCGATGATATACAGCTTCCTAAATCATTATGGACTCTTCTACAGTTCTGTTCATCATTGTGGATCTTTTTCACAGCTTACTACAAATTAAAACTTCATAGGTTTCAATTAAAGTAATAGAATCATAGAATAGAATCAATTTATACATGTATTTATCAATAGGAATTTAAATTAATGACATTTTTTTTTGAATGGTAGTGCATGCAACTGAAAACATTTCTCTAAGACATATGGCGCCTACTACATGACATGTCAGTTGATCATTTTCTTTCAAGAGGCTGTGTAGTTTATTTCCTGTAAGTGTGTGTGTTCTTGCGTGCACTTCACTTACACTCTGGAACATCAACTTTAGTATTCCTTTTAGGAGGCAAAGTTACCTGTACTTCCATAACTATGGATAAAAAGAGGAAGAAAAACAGCCATCACAAGAGAAAAAAACATGTGAGAGACATTTCACATTTCGAATGTTCTCCATAAGGACAGTCACTGTTGTTCCACATCAATGACCTTATCAAAGTAAATGTATTGTCATTTGCTAAATGATTAACTCAAGTTGCAGTGTTTGAGCAGATGTGGAAGCATGGCTGTAAATAGTTATGAGGACTCCGAGGTCCAGACCTTGGTAGTTTCAGAAGGGTTTTTTCACGTATCTCCGTTCATACGTTTTAAAGTGGAAACAGCGCCTTTACCAGAGTCGGTTTATGAGGAGCCTTGCCACTTCCTATTTCACTTGTTATATCAAAAACACAAAAGGACTACAAAACAGCAGAGGGCGCCCACGAGCGAGTCCTCAATGAATGGGGTTAAATAGAGCTCAGCGGGTAAAAGCGAAAAGTTAAAACAGTTTCTAATTGCTCGCCCAGAACTTTCCTTTAGTTTTAGAAAGTAGAAGGATGTATTTCGCTAAAAAAGCAAAGAAATCTCATCTGTATATTTCCTTTTTTTTTTTTACAGCAAAGGGTTTTTGGGCAGCAGGATGCTGGCATTACTGTGACTGAGAGCTGATTGGTTTGGCAAGCAGAGCAGCTCATTGGCTATTCGCGCTCACAGACATCATGGATGTACATGAGGCGTTTAAGAGCCCTTAAAAATATAACAGCAGTGTTCAAACGATTCTATGTGGAAGCAGTGGCTGATTCTCATTTTACCTCAGAACAGCCACTGTTTAGCCATAGGCTTAACTTCTTACTGCGTTTATCTCTGTACGAGAACCTGTGATAATGCTACCCAGAGCAGCTTTGACTTCTTAAGATGTAACGTTACAGGTATGCAGCACATGGAGCAATGATTTGGTTAAAAAGATACCGACAGTTGGTGTAATACACACATTACAGTTAATTTAGTCACTGTGTGATGTAGGTCATCTTACTTTAAATTTAACCTCACTAAAAATTTGATCCTAGTTACAGACCTGTGAGAAAAGATTACCATTTGCAGTGATTCTGTTGAATTCCTCCTTGTTGATTTCCTCTACTCGCTTTTTCAGTTGAGTGAGAGATTTCTTTACTTCATCAAATGAAAGATGTAGATTTACAGGGTGAGTGCTGGGTGAGTCCTTGGATTCAGAGGAGACACAGAGAAACTGAAAACTCTAGATAGAAGGAAACATGATGTAAATGATTAAACTATATTAGGGTAATGATTTATTACTTATGAAAACTGATTTCAACATATTTTAGATTTCAGAAAGTCTCAGAAACACTCTTTTCTGTAGATCAGATTGTTACCTGGAGGAAATGGATGTGATCCTCTGTGAGTTCAGGATCTCTTCTTTTCAGATCAGCAATCTCCTGCTCCAGCTGTTCAATGAGCTCTTCAGCTCCACTCAGTTCAGCCTTCTCCTGAGCTCTGATCAGCTCTGTTACCTCAGAGCGCTTTTTCTCAATGGAGCAGATCAGCTCAGTAAAGATCCTCTCACTGTCCTCCACTGCTGTCTGTGCAGAGCTCTGTTAGGATACAGAGAAAGAGGATGGAGGTCTATTTAAAGCTGACCTATCACTCCATACTCTTACTGAGACCCTAGATGTCTTATGATGGCTACGCAGGAGTTGAAAATGATCTAAAACTGCTCTCTTCACTGGCTGATTAGAAAAAAGTCTGAGGTGTGAAATCTCTGCTCGCTGCTCACCTTAAGAGTGTTCACAACCTGTTTCAGCTCCTCCAGCCTCTTCTCTTTCTCCTGGATTTTCTGCTGGGCTTCCTGTTGTATCTCTTTTAGCTGAATCTGTGGGACAGAATAATGTTCAGATGTTTGTGAGTTATAAACTGAGTGGTTAAATATTCATGTGGTATTGAGGAACCAGAGAAAATGGGATGCAAGTGCAAGAGACCTGTATTAGGACAGAATAGAAAGCTTGGTTGAAATGCAAGTAGGCAGTGTACACATATGCATATTCATAATTTTATTCTAGAAACAAGAAAAAGCAAAAACCAGACAAGCCAACACTATAGCACTTTAAAATATTCAGCAATTATGAAACGCTAGTAGCAAAATCTGGAAGACCAAGAAAACTCTCTGCACATATACTTGCCTGCAAGAAAGTTTAGCTGACATAATAATGGTGGTGCCGTGTTCTAATGTATTGCTTGCACAAATATGGTCAGCATGGAAGATTCATCAGAAGGAAACCTTCCCTGCTACCTTATCACAAAAGTCAACGTCTACATAAGTCATAGGCATTTTAGAAGCAAGTGCTGTGGATTGATGAAATAAAAATGGAGCTCCTTGGCCACAGTCTAAAGGTAAGTTTAGAGAAAAAAGGAGCAACACCTTGCCAACTCTTAAGCACTGGGGAAGGATCTCTTATGCTTTGGGGTTGTGTGGCAGCCAGTGGAACAAGAAACATTGCACAGGTAGATTGAATAATGGATTCTGCTAAATATTAGCAAATTCTGGAAGCAAATGTGACGAACTCAGTCCAGAAAATGAGCTGAAAATAGGGTGGCTTCTACAACAGGACAATGATCCAAAACATACCTCAAAATTCACCATAGGTTACTTCAAGAAATGTAAGCTAAAACTTTTGGAATGGCCTTCACTATCCCCTCATAACCTGTTGACAGATCTTAAACATGCTGTGCATGAAAGACGGTCAAAGACTATGGCAGAAGTGCAAACATGGCTTATTGATGCAGGCTAGGCACATGCAAGACTTAGGGCAAACAAGGGAAAATGTATATATTGATCACAACACACCTGGATGTGTATTGCAGGTGATCATGAGAGAAAAGGACAGGTGTGCGACAGGGCAAACCTGGAGCAGTAAGATTCCAGGCCAGGAACTGAGGGAAGGCTCATGGAAAAACCCAGATATCAGGCTCTGACTAGGGAGTTGGAAAAGGAATGAGTGCAGTGGCAGTTCTAACAAATGACAGGGCTCCTCATAGACCTCTCTGTGTGAGATTTAGGATACCAGACAGAGACTTTTGGGAGCAGAGGAGACTATAGGAGCTGAGGTGCCATAGAACAGAGCGGATGAACCAGCGTTGGATCTTTGGTGGAGTCCAGAGGGAACACTTAGTAACTGAGATCAGAGAAGTAGTGGTACTGGAGGCAAGGAGTTTCTGAGTCAGCCAGCCAAGGTGGGTCAGCAATAGAGGCTGTTGGCACAGGGTCAAGGACAGAGGAAGAGGGTCAGCAGGTCAGAAGTCATTGAAATACGAAGATCGTAGTCAAAGAGGAAGCCTGAATGAGCATGTGTCTCCTTCTTTAAAGCTATGTAGAACCAGACAGAAGGAAAAAGATATGTATGCTTTCTTGTGCATCAGAGTCAAACAGCTGCAAAGTGTCAGTCTTTGGATCACCAGCTGGAATTGCCTACATAGATTGGACACTGGGCGGTGGGATCAGAGTTGGGAAGCAGCATCCTCAGGCATTCCAACTGACACTGTTGACCCTGGAAGAGACTCTAACATTCGTTGGCACTGTGAAGAATTGTAGACTCCACAAGTCAAGTGGCACTGTTAGCACTGCTAGAAGGACAGAATTAATGAAGGGAACTGGAGCCACAACAGAGGTCCACAGATTGGAAATTCTCACAGTTTGTAAAGCAAACTGTATCAGGGGCTCTTATTCATGAGCAGTGGCTTGTACTGGAATGAGACCCGCATCACCACGAAAACTAGAAACATAGGTTTTGGTTTAGCAAAGACATTGAGAACAGGGAAGGCTAAGACTTTAGGGACAAGAGTGGGAACAACTGCAAAATATTACAGAATCAGAGTGAAATGGTAAGAGATTTTTTAGGAGACATTTTGAGAGTAAAGCTCTAGAAGAGGACTGCTTACTGGTTTATTGAGTTAATTCTATACATTTAGCATTTGGAAATAATTAAAACTCCTTAACAAACTGATTTAATATTAGAAATAAAATGAATTTATTCGTAAAGATTTCAAGTTCTCACCTGTTTATCTGCTCTCTCTGCTACTGCTGCAACTGTATCGTGGCCTTTGTGTTCGTGCATCATACACAAATAACAGATGTATCTTTGGTCAGTACGACAGTAGATCTCGATCAGTTTGTTTTGCTGAGAGCAGATCTTCTCTCGTAGTCTTGGGGAGGCAATCACCAGCTTGTGGCTTTCCAAAGCAGGAAGTTGAAGATGAGGTTTAAGATGTATTTCACACAGGGAAACTAAACAAACCAAACAGGACTTGATGGCTTTGAGTTTCCTCCCAGTGCAGAAATCACACTCCACATCTCCAGGTCCAGCGTAACAGTGAGCAGGAGAAGCAGCTCGGAGTTCTGTCTTCTTCAGTTTCTCCACCACTTCAGCTATAATATTGTTTCTGCGTAGAACAGGCCTCGGAGTGAATGTCTCTCTGCACTGGGGGCAGCTGTAGATCCCCCTCTGATCATCCTGATCCCAGTAGTCATTAATACATACCATACAGAAACTGTGTCCACAGGGAATAGCCACTGGATCCTTCAGCAGATCCAGACAGACTGGACAGCTGAACTGGTCCTGATCTACTGAAATACTGGCCTCTGCCATTTTCCTGCACTCACAGACTGAGAGAGAGCAGCTCTCTGAGATCAGTTTCGTTTCCTCTGAACTGAATAGGAGTGGCTTAGTGGTTTTGCCTTTCCCAGGGTGGACTGAAGTAAATTTACTGTAATGCTGGTAATTTGGAAATAGTGAGGCAAGTACAAATATACTGCGCTAACAGTGACTTGAAGCTGAATGGTGTAGCTGCAGGACAGTGCATACATGAATATGCACAGAATTCTCATCTTCATAGATTCCTTCATTGTTAACCCACATGACAGATAACACTGTACAACTGAATCTGGACTTTGATAACATTTCAACTGGACAGCAGATTCACAGGAATTTACAAGAATTGACTTGCATTATTAAACTGCAGTTGCAGTAACAGTAATGAGAGAGTAGTGCAGCCTGAATGTGCTGATTCACTGTATAATAGAAAAGCACTCAAGTTTCCATCTCTTCATCAAATGTTCCGAGCTTAATGGGCCTCAGTCCATACTGAGCTAATGCTGAAGCACTTTGGGAAGGAAATACCGTTTTCATGTAATGGATTTTTATGATCGATTGATTTAAATGATGACTACATATCTGGGTGAGGTTTGTCCTGACTTTGCAGTACTCTGTTTTGTTTTCATGGATCAATCATTGTTGTGAAACCAACCATTGTTGTGAAGCCAAAAAGCAGTAAAGGTGTCACATGAAACCATTTTTGGTAGGTTTTCAATGTAAACTCTTGATGAGGGAAAATACTTACGGTCCAAACAGCGCTAAATAGATTCTGTTGCAAAGACTGGCACTCATGGCATGATATTTTAGGTCAATTTTGTGAAACCATGGGCATAGTCTTGGGGCAGGCACTACGTGCCTTAACTTTTCCAAAAATAAATGTCACTCTGTATGACAGTGTATTTCAGTGATCATTTATTCTGTAAATACACAGTCTATCACTGCCTGTGTTTATGCATTTTTCCCAACATCCACTTACTTCTCTCTTGTGGCAGTTTTGCACTGTTTTGCTGTGCATTTTTGGTGAGTAAAAGTGCTTTCCTACAGCATGTTAAACTCAATGGTGGGTGTGCTTAGCTGTTCCCAAGTTGATTGCCCTATATCTCCTCCTACTTTGCATCAGTTTTTGTTAATCTTCTGCCTATAGAAACTAAGCAAAACTTGGAAGAGAAAAACTTGGTATGTTTTTGTCAGCTTATGACATTTCATAAGCTATTGTTAATGTTTACACACATACTGATTATCATAAGTCACTAACACTGCACATGATTGCCTCAGAAAAGTAAACCTTGTGTAGTGAGTTTACCAGCTAGACAATTAGCAGTGTAACCCTAAAAATATTACTGTTGGCTAGATGGTTATATACTAAGATTAGGGATGTAACAGTGCATCGTCAAATCATGATATTGCAATGCAAAACTGTGACAGTGTGTATCGGGGAGGTGTGACAGTGCGTCACAGAGAATGGAGAGTTTAATAATTATGCCTATCTAATGCAACTACACTGGTTAAATATCAAAGTTTCTAAGCAATCAGAGTAGTTATTAACCCCGGTAAATGTCAAAATGATTTATGAGTTACGCGTGACGTCACGTGTGAAATATGTAAAGCATTTTCCCAGGGGTTGGTGTGTGTAAAATGTAAACATCAGTTGTATGACGTCATGTGTGAATATTGCAACTAATTTTCCCAGGAGGTAATGTGTGTAAAAATGTGAACAACTATTATAGGATGTAAAGAATTTTTTTTCCGGTGATAAAATGTTCAATTTTCCCAGGGTGCGTGTTGGAGTGGAAAGCGTGAGCAAATTTTCCCCTTGAGAAGTGTTAATGAAAAAAATTATGTGATTTTTGTGTAAAAGTTTAAAGGGGGTGAAAAATTAAAACGGGTGGGCGTTAAGCGTAAGGATGAGATGCGAGGACTTACCGTCGGTGGGGGTGGTTGGGTCGGGGTATGGTGTGTGTGTGTGTGTGTGTGTGTGTGCGTGTGTGTGTGTGTGTGTGTGTGTGTGAGTGTGTGCGTGTGTGTGTCTGTGTGTGTGTGTGTGAATGCTTTTTGATAACTTCCCAAGGTTTGTCCGGTATGGTACGTGGGAAGAATTTTCAAAAGATTCCCAGGATGTGCTTTGGAAAAAAAGATTCCCCGGATGTGTTTTGGAAAAAAAGATTCCCAGGATGTATTTCGGAAAAAGATTTCCATGATGTAACCGAATGTAGTTGATGTTGTGTTTTTGAGTGACAGTAGCAAGTGGGGGGCTTCCGTTCCGCTAAGCGTGACTAATAATTGAACAGGTGTCTGTGGTGTTTTTCTCCTCACAATACTATAAAAACTGGCCGTAAAAGAGACAGATTGGTGCGGAGAGTGACTTTTCTGCAAAACCATCGTCATGGATTCTCCAGACAGACCGTCTAAGGTTCACGATGGATCTCCGATGTTAAATTCCTTGAGCAAATGGCGCTATCGCACATCCATTCGGGACAACTTACAAAAGCGTGGAATATCTTATTTCGTGTGGCCAAACAGTCTAAAACGACTGAAACTGAAGGAGCAGCCCCCGAGGACCAGTCAAATTTTGAGCGCGAGGAAGGCCTTCGTTCGCAATGACATACCTAGACACTGCTGGCCCCGTTCGATTCGGGAAGAAAACGACGTTAAACCTTCCCAGAAAAAAAAGCAGGAAATCGACAGATTCAGAGCGGACGACAGTCTGTTTAAACTGAGCATAAAGAGGAGATGTCTTTCGATGACGTATTTGACAATTTTGCCGAAAGAAACCCGGCTGAACAATCGCTACATCGTTTTCCGTCAGAGCAGACTGTGTCACGGTAATAAACCAGCCGAAGTATCCATTTCCGAAAAGGAGTTGTACCTGTTAAACCAGACCATCCCGAAAACGAATGAAGTGGGGGAATTGCATGCTATGATCTTACAGGCCAGAAACAGGTCATGTATGGTTCACGACACACAAGACCGAACTGTCCAGGTCTGCCACAATCACACTGAAGGTCAGATCCGCGCATTATTTGCGTCAAATCACCCTGACCATCACAGGGCTCAGGACCCCAGAGTTTACCTACAGAGTTCGACTGGAAGTGTGCACGTCACCTGTGATAAGGCATGAAAACGTGTGCTCCAGCGATGACGACCAGTGGACTTTTTATTTTGCCCCTACTGAAAAAGAAGAGCACGTCCAGCTGATTGAAATAACTTTGCGGGAGAGCGAACTACTGGATATTTATCACGCGGTCAAACATGTTCTGACAGGTAAGAAAAACGCTTTTTTTCTGAAGAATTTATTTTGACCATTTGCGGTACCGTAGTTTGTGAATATAAGCCGTAAAAAGGGTTATACCGTTTCAAGTTGCAGCGTGTGGCCGAAGAGTAAGCATGTACGAGCCCGTTAAACCTTTTAACGATTTTCTCTCTCTATTACCAGCCAACGTAATATGCGGTTGCGACAGCTGTCATATTCCACGTCCGACGAGTCTGATGTCTAAACACCAAGATGACAAAACAGCGATGCGCATGTGCGAGGACATGCCCAGTGGGAGAGATTGGGGGAGTTCCCCCACAGACCACCCAGAGCACGATGAAGAGAGTTCTGATCTAGACCTCGTGGAACGTAAAAAAAGCGGCCGAAATGACATTTCAGACTCGACCAGCGCGAGCGAGGTAGAAGAAGAGGAAGATGAAGCCTCCGGCGTGACCGATCTGGACAGCGATGAATTTGTCGTGGTGGACGAGGACAGGTTACAAAGCCGACCGTCTTCACCGGCTGACATCGAGCAGCGTGAGAGAGAGAACGCGAGCGCTTTCTCAGGAACGGGGTCACAAGGTCAGTGCGAGGAACCTCTTGACGCTGGCGCCAGCTCGGAAACTCAGAGCGAGAAGCATTCGGACCCTGAGCTGAAGGACCGAGCCACGAAAATTGTGGAATTTATTTGGGCAAGAGAGATGGGTCACGAGAGATTGCGGTGGGTGTCAAATTCAGTACCCTTCATAAAAACAACACAGTTGCGTTGAAGGCGTCCCCATAAGATTTCTGGACAACGAGTTAAAACAGAAACTCTGGATGAGTTACAACAGAAGTGGCTGAATCTCATACCCACTTGTGAATTGGAGATCAAAGAGTCTATAAAGCAACACTTTGAATTAAAAGAACCTCATGATGGTTTTGTAATAAACATTTTGCGTAGAATTTACACGCTGACGCAGGAAAAATTGGGTGAATATAACCCGCTGTCCGAGTACCTGAGCAGAGATCCGTCCGAAATTCTGAGCCGGTTCTATATGCGGCTAGATGAACCTCTGGACTGCGCTGCGGAATCAACGGCCGCCAACGTGTGTAAAATTCTGACGGGGTCTGAGGATGACAGATCGGTGTAGTGATTCGCGAGAGAGATTGTGTATTTGTACATAAGACATTTATGACACCGATGTGCTGCTAGTAAGTTTATACATTGTATTAGACAAACCATAAAACATTATTATTAGAAAAACTGGGTAACCTTTTTGTTTTATTAAAAAACATCACATGCTTTTCATTTAATATTTTAGTAAAAAGTAAGCTTTTTATTTTGTATTTTAGTAATTTGAGTTTGTGTAATTGTTTATAGCACCTTTATGACATCTTTTGATCGCTGCTAGTAGTTTACATATCTTTTTTGAACCCCTTTGTGCATGTTTATTAGACAAACTGTGTAGTCTTTTCATTTGAATATTTTTTAATATTTTTAAATCATGTAACCATTTTTCATTTTAATATTTTAGTAGAAACGTGTAACCTGAAATGTGTAACCTTTTAATTTTTAGATTTTAATATTTTGAAATCATGTAATTATTTTACACTTCAATGTTCATCACATTTAGTTTGAAACTAATTTACCTATATCTAACGGTTTGTCAGTAGATTAGATACTAACAACCAAAAAAACTATAAAAGAAATAAACCATTTATAACAAAAAAATTAAAAAACACATAAAAAAACCTTTAAACAAAAAAATAATAAAAACCATAAAAACCTTTTGAAGTCGTCTTCGTGTCATCA